CTTTGGCGCTCCAAGACAAGCCGCGAAAAGTCGAACCCAGAAGTTCGATCGCTCGCCGCCGAACTACCGGGTAAGTGTAGCCAAGGCCTTAGAGTGCACTGGGGCAGAGAAGGAAGTACATGGGCAGGGCCGGCTCCAGCTTTTTTGCCGCCCCAAGCAGCGAAGCAAAAAAAAAAAAAAGATAAAGCCATGATCAGCAGCACTTTGGCGGCAGCTCTACCACGCTGCTTCATTCTTCGGTGGCAATTCAGCAGAAGGGCCTTTCCTCCGAGAGGGACCCGCCGCCGAATTGCCATCGAAGACCCACACATACCGCCCCTTTCCATTGGCTGCCCCAAGCACCTGCTTCCTTCGCTGGTGCCTGGAGCCGGCCCTGTACATGGGAATATGGAGAGATCTGAACAGAACAGATTAGAAAAGATTAAATGAAAAGAAAAAGCATACAGTGTGATTCATTAATTAGGGCTTGATCCTCTTCCCATTGATGTCAATGACATACCTCTTATTGACTCACAGAGACAGAGTCAATTTCTTTTTTCTTTTTCAAAAGGAGAAAATACTTAAGCCTTTTAAAAATAAAATGTATGAGTTTTAATATGTTAAATAGATCATGGTAGGACAAGAGTCTGAGAATGTTATAGGCAAACATACGGAACTGATCCAAACCTCACTGAAATCATGGATTGTACACATTCATTAGGGTCTGTGCGCTCAGGAGTTGGACTTGTGCACAAATGAAAGTCTGATCCATTTTTTACAATAGACCCATTCACCTCATGTGAAAATATATAGAACAGATCACTGTGGGGAATAAAAAGGGTTGGAATGAAATGATGTAAATTAAATATCATGACAACATCATAAGAACTGTGATTTGTACTCACTGCATTGGCTTTCCAAAGACTTTTCTTTACAAACTTGTCCCAATTTTCATATACTCTGTCAATGTAACAAACATTCACAGCATGTAGCTTACAAGCAGAAACGAATACCTGGTGGTTGCATATCTTTAAGCTGTATGGCTTGTAGTGAGAAGGCCATCTATGGACTCCTTTGTAAGAATATTTATGTTCTGTACTCCCCTCTTCCCCCTGGCTGAAAATAGAGTAGGAGTTTTCCTTGTGGGACAATAAATGGATAAAACAAATCTGATATCAAATATGATAACAAAGTAGCTAATGCCACATTTCAATTTGCTAGTGGATCAGCTCACTTTCCCCCCAATCATTTTATGTCTATCAGAGTGAGAAAATTCATTAGTCTGGGGACGGAATCCCTCCTAATATTGCAAGCAAAGAAATCCAGTTCTTAATGTGTTATTAGTGTAGCCTTCAGGGGACTGAATAATGCACTTTATTAGTGCATGGGGGGGAGGGATAGCTCAGTGGTTTGAGCATTGGCCTACTAAACCCAGGGTTGTGAGTTCAATCCTTGAGGGGCCCATTTAGGGCAAAAATCTGTCTGGGGTTTGCTCCTGCTTTGAGCAGGGGGTTGGACTAGATGACCTCCTGAGGTCCCTTCCAACCCTGACATTCTATGATGTAGTGATGCTAACTAACACTTTCAGTCTCAGCTTTTGACAGTGAAGTGGTTAATTTTCATTGTACTTCCATCACCGCAAAGGGGTTTGGATCGAATCTATTATTAGAATATTTCTGTAGTAATATTAGCCCACTGTTTAATACCATAGCTATTTCCAAAATGCCACAAGAGTTATATGCTGTGTGAACAGAATATTCTTCCATTGATGTTCTTCTCTATTAAACATATCATGTTATTTAATTTCCTCTCTTGCTTTTCTTTAACAGGCTTCTCAGATCCATCATCAAGCTGAAATGAAGACCTTGGAGGCTGAAGAAAGCTGAGTGCACCACTACGTTGCTTCGGAGAAAGGAACTACTGGTCCAGCCAACCTTTCTCCTGACAACTTTTGGTAGCTTTAAATTGCCGGTTGCTTACCTTGAAAGACACAGTTATTGCTTTTTTCAGCACACATGGAGGAAGGCAGAAAAGTGTGTAACCCTGGCTAATCAAACTTTGGCTTTCCTATGAAGAGCAGAAGGCCAATCATAAAAGAATTATTTCACAGTTAGCCTCCTGGACTTTACTTCTGACCTGATCACTGGACACAAATACAAGCCGATTCCAACAATCTGAGTTTTCACTACCTGTTCTTTATCATTGTTTTAATTTCTCTTTCTTTGGTATTCTGTTTCTTTAAGTTCAAAATGGGCCTGTGGACGAGAATGTGGCCCAAAGATTGGGCTGCTTTCCTGAAATCCTGGCTCATAATTTCCCTGGGGCTCTGCATGCAGGTCTCCAAAGCTCTGGCCTGTCCAAATGTGTGCCGCTGTGACCGAAACTTTGTCTACTGTAATGAGCGAAGCTTGACCTCAGTGCCTCTTGGGATACCGGAGGGTGTAACCGTACTCTACCTCCACAATAACCAAATTAATAATGCTGGATTCCCTGCAGAGCTGCACAACGTCCAGTCTGTGCACACGGTCTACCTATATGGCAACCAATTGGATGAGTTTCCCATGAACCTGCCCAAGAATGTCAGGGTTCTTCACCTGCAGGAAAACAACATTCAAACCATTTCGCGGGCTGCCCTGGCCCAGCTCCTGAAGCTGGAAGAGCTGCACCTAGATGACAACTCCATCTCTACTGTAGGGGTTGAGGATGGAGCATTTCGGGAAGCTGTCAGCCTCAAGCTTCTGTTCTTATCTAAGAATCACCTGAGCAGTGTACCAGTTGGCCTTCCAGTGGACTTACAAGAATTACGAGTTGATGAAAACCGAATTGCCATAATTTCAGACATGGCCTTCCAGAATCTCACGAGCTTGGAACGTCTTATTGTGGATGGCAATCTCCTTACCAATAAAGGTATAGCTGAGGGCACCTTCAGCCATCTGACCAAGCTCAAGGAATTCTCAATAGTACGGAATTCACTATTCTACCCTCCCCCTGATCTTCCAGGTACACATCTGCTGAGGCTTTACCTGCAGGACAACCAGATAACCCACATACCACATTCAGCCTTTTCAAACCTCCACAAGCTGGAGCGGCTTGATATTTCCAACAATCAGCTCCGGATGCTGGTGAAAGGGGTCTTTGATAACCTCCACAACCTGAAGCAGCTCACTGCGCGGAATAATCCCTGGTTATGTGACTGCAGTATTAAATGGGTCACTGAATGGCTCAAATTTATTCCTTCATCCATCAATGTCCGGGGTTTTATGTGCCAGGGACCAGAACAGGTCCGAGGTATGGCTGTCAGGGAGCTCAATATGAATATGTTGTCATGCCCCACCACCACTCCTGGTCTGCCACTTATCACCCCAGCCCCTGCTACCACCTTGCCAACCACACTGGTTCCCACTTCATCAGTTCCAACTCCAAGTGATAAATACAGTCCTCTCCCACCCATCACATCCACACTCCCCACTGTGCCTGACAGGGAGGGCGGAGAAATGGTGACACCTCCCATTTCCGAAAGGATCCAACTCTCCATCCATTTTGTGAATGACACTTGCATCCAAGTCAACTGGCTGTCCCTTTTTACCGTGATGGCATACAAACTCACATGGGTTAAAATGGGCCACAGCCTGGTAGGGGGCATTGTCCAGGAACGGATAGTAAGTGGTGAGAAACAACACTTAAGCTTGGTGAATCTTGAACCCAAATCCACTTATCGGATTTGTTTGGTTCCACTGGATGCTTTTAATAATTACCGAGCTGGAGAAGACACTGTCTGTTCAGAAGCCACAACCAAGGCTTCCCACTTAAACAATGGCAGCAACACAGCCTCCAGCCATGAGCAGACGACTTCTCAGAATATGGGCTCCCCCTTTTTGCTGGCAGGCTTGATTGGGGGTGCAGTGATATTTGTTCTTGTGGTCCTGCTCAGCATCTTTTGCTGGCACATGCATAAAAAGGGGCGCTACACCTCCCAGAAGTGGAAATACAACCGGGGCCGGCGGAAAGATGACTATTGTGAGGCGGGGACCAAGAAGGACAACTCCATCCTGGAGATGACGGAAACCAGCTTCCAGATTGTCTCCTTAAATAACGATCAGCTCCTTAAAGGAGATTTCAGACTGCAGCCCATTTATACCCCAAACGGGGGAATTAACTACACAGACTGCCACATCCCCAACAACATGCGATACTGCAACAGCAGTGTCTCAGATCTGGAACACTGTCATACGTGATAGTGAGGGGAAAGCGAGATGCATAGAACTACGAGCAAAAACTCTGGAAAAAAATACACACACAAAAAAATTACATTTGATAAATGTTACACAGATGCATTTGTGCATTTGAATACTCTGTAATTTATACGGTGTACTATATAATGGGATTTAAAAAAAAAGTGCTATCTTTTCTATTTCAAGTTAATTGCAAATGGTTTTGTAACTCTTTGCTTTTTAAATCTTTAAAAAAAATATTGCTGAAGTACTGTACAGGGTTGTACAATAAGAACCCAATGCCATGGCAAAGGATAGAGAGACTCATTCTTCAAACATTAACCACTTTGCTGTCGAAGCTGTCTGAAGGATGTAGGTCCCTAGGTAGTCCTGTAGTATGGGACATAAGTGTTCATTAAAACAGGGTCACTAGGGATGGGCAAAGCCAGTTCTGATAAAATGAGTACAATCCTCTCACCCAAACTCATAATGAACTTCTACTGAGGTTCAAACAAGTTGGAGTAACTCTGTTCCCCATTTGTCACTCTCACCTGTCTCTGTATTTCCTGGTTCCACCTAGAAGTGGGAGTTCTGAAGTGCTACCAGAGAGGCTGTTTCAGTGGTGTTTTTTTTTTTCCTGATATGGATGGAAACAAAAAAGCATCAGACACTTTCTGCAAGATTCAGAGTTCTCTGTATTCTATTCATAAGAGCTAGTCAGAAAATGGTCCCAAAATATCAGATACATTTTCATGAGAATTTTTTCCCCATTTTTCATTAACGTTAAGAAGTTTTACACATTTTCTAACCAACTTCAATGGGAAATGAGGGTGCTCATCAGCTATCAGGTGGCTCTCATCAGATCACATGACCTTCTAAGAGAGCAACTTTGGCAGAACTAGCATGTTCAGTTAAGGCCTGAACCTGTGAGATGCTGAGTGCCGTCAACTCCTATTGACATCAAATGTCCAAATCCTATAGGAATTGCTATGCCTTAATGGCAATATACCTATCCAAATCACTGAAAGCCTCATCCAAAAATCCAATGAGATCCATGGAAAGACTTCCACTGGCTTCTGTGGATTTTGGATTAGGCCCTGATTGGTTTAATGGCCTGAATAAAGTTCAGTACAGAGAACTAGGAAGAAGCTACCTGGCAAGTGAGAGAGCTTTTGTTTGTTTGTTTTGTTTTTTGAAAGGCTCTCAGACCTGCTATGAACTGAATTAACTTCAGTGAAATAATCACATCAAATTCCTATTGTTTTAGGTGAATGGCGATAGGCACTAACTAAACATTTGGTGAGTTGAGGGATTTGCATGGATACTAGTCCATGCTGCCCCTTTTACTCTCCCTTCTTCAATCCTTAGTCTTTTGGCCACTTTTTCAACAATGATCTGTGCTTTAAAAGTAGTATCTGGGCCTAGATTTTGCTGTCTTCTGCCCTCAACTCTTCAGTTGGAATCAATTCTGCATCCCTGGGCTTGACACAGATTGTATGGAACATCATGCTTCTACTAAAATCATGATGTTGTTCGGAAAGTTACATAAGGTTCCAGCAACTCCTGACTCCTGTGCTTGCCAAAAGCTCTGGTTCTCTTGCCAGCTCAGTGATGGATTTTTATTCTTTTTTTTTTTTACACTTTGGCGCACTCTGTCTCCTGAGCCTAGGGAACACACACAAGTTCACAACAAAGAGGAAGAAGACCACACAAATATCAGTAAGCCCCTCATACAAAAAGCTCACAGGGCTTGTTTTCTAACATTTTTTCCAAGGGAGAAGGGAATGCATGCATGCATGCATGCTTGCTACAGAGATCATAGAAAGGTCCAGCAAAAGTTGGTATTCCAGTTAAAGTGACCCATTAATTAAAGATTTAACAAAATCACTCTGAAAAACTTGGGGTTATATGATCATTGATTGCTTTGTATGTTGGGAGAGAGAGCTGTGGTCCTTTCCTCTGTGAATTTCACCAGGCCCATCCCTGAACCCCAGCAGTCTTTGAGCGTGCAACTTCTAAAATGGCATGAAAACATTTCGCTTCTGCACTGAAGAGATTAATCTGATCTTTAGTTGTAGATGGCAAAGTACAATCATTATCTGAGGAACTACACCCTCCCCACTGACACCTTTTATAATCCCATTTGGGAATTCCATTCTATATTCTGTATATTTGCTATTTTCTCCGGCTATAACCGGTATTTTAGGCAACCTGTGTGGCTACTGTAATAGTAAAGTCACTGAAATTTTGCTGAATAAAAGGCTGCCATATGATCTCAAATTGTGTAATTTTAGGTAGAAAAGTCTATGCAAAGTGTTTTTTCCTAGTATGTGACCTATTTACTCAAGATAACTGAGAGAAGGCTGTATTTTTTTGTTTGTTAGTTTAATATGTTTTAGCTGCCCCACACGACGAGCAGCAAGACATGTGCATGTGCACACACCTGTGGCATGCGGTATACATGAAAGTTTATTTTAGATTAAGTAGAGTTAGTGAATTCATTCTGGGCATGGATGTAGTATTTAATTTCACTGAAATAGCTAATTATATGTTTGGTTTGAAAAAGCCACCTCACATATTTAATAATGGTTCCCAATCATTGGTATGTATACCAGTACTGGTACTTCATGCTTCGATGTCTGATACCGTAAGTACTTTTCTCTTCTGTAATTCTAATCAGCTGAACTAGGTCTTAGTATATCATAGTTACTAGAGCTAGGTGAATTATTAATACCAAATTGCCTCTTCAGTGAGTTTAGCCCTTTATTTCCAATTGTGAATTATCTATGCACAGATTGATTGATATGATTGTGCTTGCTATTCAAAATTGTTTGATGAATACTCCTGTGAATGTGATCCAGACGAGGGGTTGTTCACAAACTGTTCAGTTTGACTATATCTTGGACTATTCATGGTGCGTGACTGGGCCAGCTAAGTCACATGTCATTAATTCTGCTCCCTGACTGATGATGGGAACTTTTATAAACAGCAGGAGGGAAATCCAAGAAATTTCAAAGATGACAGAGTTTGGGCTTCGGGTAGTGAACCCTTGTGCAAATATATTGGCATGGAGTGTTCATAGGACTCATTTTACATGAACGTTATGTTGAAAAAAAAAACCACTTATACCAGATTTCCCTGAAAAACAAATTGAAAGAACTGGGAGTACTAGCTCAACAAATTCACTGTTTTATTCAAACAAAAGTTTAGATATATGTTTTGGAACACACAACAAAGTTTGGATTATTTCAAATTAGGTTCCACAGTCATACAAACGGCTCACACTCCATTTTAGCACATAGTTGACTACGCTTCATTTGGTGGAGGTTTTCAAAAGAGGCTGGATAGCCGTCTGTCTTGGATGGTTTAGACACCACAAATTCTGCATCTTGGCAGAGGTTAGACTAGATGACCCTTGCGGTCCCTTTGATTCTATGATTCTAAGAAGGTGATAGGCACTAGCTGAAGTCTGAGTCTGGTAAAATGTCTGAAAAGACTGGGAACCGCTCAGCTAAAAATAAATGTTGACAAATATTTTTTTTGTGATTGGACATTTAATATTAAATTAATATCACAAGCTTTCATCTTGTACAGAGTATATTCCAAACAGGCTTCATAAATGCTGCAGATTATGGGATCTGCCTCAATTAGTGTAAGATCTGCATACTTACATTAGCTAGCATACACCATGGAGAAAAGTTTCAAATGTGTGCACACAAAACCCAAGCAGAACCTCTGAAATGTGCATTTGCTAATCCTGATTTCCATAGATCTGGGTGTACACATTCATTAGGGTCTACGTGCTCAGGAGTTGGACTTGTGCACAAATGAAAGTCTGATCCATTTTTTACAATAGACCCATTCACCTCATGTGAATATATAGAACAGATCACTGTGGGGAATAAAAAGGGTTGGAATGAAATGATGTAAATTAAATATCATGAAAACATCAAAAGAACTGTGATTTGTACTCACTGCATTGGTTTTCCAAAGACTTTTTCTTTACAAACTAGTCCCAATTTTCATATACTCTGTCAATGTGACAAACATTCATATCATGTAGTTTAAAAGCAGAAACAAACAGCTGGAGGTCGCACATCTTTAAACTGTATGGTTTGCATTGAGGAGGCCATCAATAGACTTCTTTGTAAGAATATTTATGTTCTGTATTCCCCACTTCCCCTGGCTGAAAATACATTAGGAGTTTTCCATGTGGGACAATAAATACATAAAATGAACCTGATATCAAATATGACAATGAAGTAGCTAATGCTACAGTTCCATTTGCTACTGGACCAGCTCACTTTTTATTTTATTTTTTCCAATCATTTTATATCTTTATCAGAGTGAGAAAATTCTTCCATCTGAGGAAAGAATCCCTCCAAAATTGCAAGCAAAGAAATCCAATTCTTAATGTATAATTGGTGTAGTCTTCAGAGAACTAAGTAAGGCACTTTTTTTAATGACACTAAATAGCAGTTTCAGTCTCAGCTTTTGACAGTGAAGTGGTTAATTTCCATTGAGTCCTTTGTTTATAGCATTTCTTTGCTCTAACTTATAACAGAGACATTAAAGTTTTACTTTAGAATATGAGAATAATGGTTTTACTCATGACTTATCTTTCCAGCTGCATGAAAAAACAAAACAGAAATTAGTGCCAAAAACAAAAGTAACTAGCTCTAAGCTTCATCAAATCCTGTCTGATACTCTCCTTTTTACACAAAGGATAATTCTAGGAAGCTGAAGCTGACATTCTTCCCTAAGATCTACAGGAGAGGTCAGTTTGGATCACAGAAGACACTAGAGGATGCTTGTAAAAGATTTATTTGTGAAGTTTTTGCACAAGCATGGTACTGTATTTTCTCTTCAATAAGACAGTTCTTTCTAGTAGCACACCCAGCAGTCTAGCACAAAGGGGATGCAGCAAGCATTGACTATATTGGGGACTCTAAACGAAACACATCCCATTAGAGTTAAATTCTGAGCCTCTCGAATACAGACAAGGCACGGAACAAATTGTCATGAATACTGGGTCCCAGATATAGTGGCTCCAAATATATTAATTGAAAAATAATCATAAAACATTGTTATTAATTGAGACATATGCAAATTTGGTTCTTCTTTGTGTTTGGTATATTTTATCTATAATGAGATAGTACAAGTAGTTTGAAGCCTGCATTATCCATCTTCTGAGACCTGCCATGTTTAACTTCAAGACTCCATTCTACACTATACAGTATCTTGTTGGCTTATTCAGTAAAGACTTACTGGGAAAAAAACCACCGCAAAACCCTGCTGTGTTTTATGAGAGCCTGCATTAAAATTCAGACATCTCATCTCATCAAAAATCTCATCCATAAGGGAATGGAGTAAAAAAAAATGGTCAGGATTCCAAATTTTCATTTTTGCATATTTTTAAAAGTGTTTTGCTGTACATCTGCTCTCTCCTTAAATTCTAACCAACTGACTTGTTTGTTTTATCTCTTTGTGTTCAAAGCAGTTTTGCCCCTATAATGAGAACTACTTGTTGGCGTCATTTTCTGAAAGATTATCTTAGCTATAGACACATTCTCATCTTGATATGCATTTAAGAAATCACTGTTCAAGAAGACAAGAATGTAACATAATGTTTGCATATAGTATGTGTGTGAGAGAGTATGTGTATACATATAAATGCTACGTGTGTATGTGGAGGTGATATCCAATCCATGTGAGAAATTGCAGAGTCATAGGATAAATGCATGTATCTTGCATCTTTGGGTCCCTAACCTGCCTTTTATCCATTAATCTATTTTCCAGGAATGAAATATTCCTCCTTCTCCTCCAGTTTCTCCCAGAAAAATCAGTTCTGGTTGAGACCCAAGAAGAACAGGATTCAGCCATAGGATAGTTGGCAGATTTGATATACCTCGCACCTAGTATATGTGTATACAGGAGCTTTAGAGAGACAAGGTGGGTGAGGTAATGCCTTTTATTGGACCAACTTCTGTTGTTTAGAGAGACAAACTTTCGAGCCACATAGATCTCTTCTTCAGGTCTGGGAAATGTACTCCCAGTGTCACAGCAAAATGCAAGGTGGAATATATTGTTTAGGATAAGTGGTTAGCACATATTGTAAGGGACCATTTGAGGTGGAGTGACCCATTTGTGCAATCATAGGACAAAAAGAGGGGGTTAGTGGGTTACAGATTGTTGTAATAAACCATAAATCCAGTTTCTCTTTTCAGTTCATGATTTTTAGTATCTAGCAAAGTAATGTATTTAAGCTCCCAGCCTCGTCTTTTGAAAGTCTTGTGCACCTTTCCTTTGACGATATGGACTGAGATGTCAGATATAGAGCGATGGTTTTGTGAAAAGTGTTCACCCAGAGCTGATAGGGTGTTTGTCTTTTTATCATTTTTCTGTGTGAGTTCGGAATGGTCCCTTACAATATGTGCTCACTACTTATGCTAAACAATCTGTTCCACCTTGCGTTTTGCTGTCATGCTGGGATTATCTTTCCCAGACCTGAAGAAGAGCTCTGTGTGGCTCAAAAGCTTGTCTCTTTCACCAGCCGAAGTTGGTCCAGTAAAGGTATTACGTCTCCCACCTTGTCTCTTTAATATCCTAGGACTGACACAGCTACAACTACACTGCAAACAGGAGATTTAGACATTTGAGAAAATTCCCAACTTCCAGTGATATACACAGCACTCACTTCTGGCCCTGGAAGGGCCTGCAGTATCAAACATATAGTTGTGTCATTTTTTATGTCTAGAAAAAGGTCATTTTCAAGAGTCTTGCATTTCACTGATGAGTTCTTTCTTTCTTTCTCTGTAAGATCTGCAAAGCTCAAGTCATGGTATAAGGTTGTGTGTAGCTTAACACACACACATTGCTGCTCACCCACCATGATCCCCCAGAGTCTGTCTCTCCCACAGAAGCAACTCCTACTCTCTTTTCTAAGCAACCTGTCTCATCATGCATATATGAGAACACAGAGAGATGGGATAGACAGCAGGTTAGAAGTTTATGACAAAAAAATAGAAACAAAATAGAAACATTTTCAAAGTTTATTTTTGTTTTCTGCCAGAATGGAAGTAGTTGATGAACACTGGTAGTTTCATGAGCTAATCTTTGTGTAGCCAAAAACTGTTAATCTGAATAAGGGAAACAATCCTTTAAATGTTGTTTGAATATTTCAAAAGTGGCTGGTATCTGACATGTTATCAGAATGTGATATGTATATTTGTCTGTGTGTAGTGTTTCTAGTTTATGACAATTGTGGTTGCCTAAAAAGAGGAACTCAAAGAAACAAGAAAACGGGGCAAATTTTAATACAGGGAACATTTCTCCAAGTTTTCTCAGCAAAATTTAGTGAATGTGTTCCTATAAAAAGTACATACAAGTTCAGTTGTCCTAGGAAGAATTATTGTGCCAGATTTGGAGACTGCGTTCAACCAGGTATGAAACATGGATGGATGTGCAACTCTCAATAAAATCTTAGATATGGAGTCACTATTGATGGCTCCATTATACACTGAACACACATATATACATGCATCCATTATATATACACATGTGTTAAAAAAGTTTCCATTAGTCTCCATTAGTGAAATAAATTTATATATTCATAGGGTATAATCCTGGCCCCATTGATCTCATTCATAGATTTTGAGGTCTGAAGGGATTATTAAAATCACCTAGTCTAACCTCCTGCATAACCAGTGAATGCTATATACCAGTGAATTCCCATATAAAAATAAATAAGATTACTAAATAAGGCAATATGACTATGTACTGCATTATAAAGAGACAATGTGGATGAGGTAATATCTTTTAATTGGACCAACATCTATCAGTGAAAGAGACAAGCTTTTGAGCTAGACAGAGCACTTTGTCAGGTCAATATACTGCCTTGTAATTTTGGCTATCTTCTTTGGGTTGCAGGAAGAATTAAATGCAACACAAAAAATGTGTACAGAAAAAAACAAACAGCTTGATCCACATTTTCAAATGTAAAGCTGCACACATAAAATGGGGGTATGTGTGAGTGGAAACAGTCAACGAGTGCACAGAAGATGCAGTTTTATGAACACACACAAGCACACAGTGTTTGCTTGTATCTTCATAACTTACCCAAGCATTACCTAGTTGCACGGATCCACCCATGTTTTCTGAACACAACTCAGATAAATGTTAGAAGTTTGGTGTGCATGTTGTACAGGCCACATTCTGTTTAACTCACTCATACAAGTCCTGTGTATTACTTTAGGGCTTCTCACCCTGAAGAAGGAGAATAGGATTTGATTATGTGCATGAAGGTATAAATCATTTTTCTCACTCTGTAGAGAAAGAATTGGTACACCAAACAAGCTATATACTCATTTTATTTTCACAAGTTGTTGTGAACATTGTGATTGAAATGTTTGTTATAACCAGTGAAAAACAAACAAAAAAAACAAGCTCAATACCCCATTTTCTATTCCAGAAGTGTGGAGTGTCTTGAAGAATGAACACAGTGCAGAATCTAGTTTCAACCCAAGTTTGCTCATGCATCTACAACTCTGACAAGCTCAGTGCTTGCGTTAGATTTTTCAATGATAGATACCAGCCAGGGTGCTAAATTAGATACAAATCTGGTTGGTAAGGACATTTGCCATAATGATTCCCTCAAAAAGGCATATTTATTGTACAATGTAAATAAGTCCACATCACTAGATAATGAGCCAATGATCACATGAGGTGTCACTGTGAAATGGGAACAGGAGAATGTCTCCAAAGAAACAGTGTTATGATTTGTGTGCTGTGGATGATGTGACCTCAGTGAAAAATGACAGGTATATTTTCCCATGAAGATGAAATACAGTTATCATGGGCAAAGTTCATAGTGCATTTTTATTGCATGAATATACAAATCATGCCACACTGATGAAATATACACATAAATACTGTGGAAACGTATATATATTAGAGATAAGTCTGGTTTGATTCAAATCTCCCTCCTCCCCACCCCCATCCCAGTTTCTGGGGTGTTCAGCTCAGATCCACTTTTGGAACATACAGAACATTCCAAACTGTGAAGAACTCTGGTTAATGAAGTTTTCATAGGGACAATTAAAATGAATTGCTTTCCTATAAGATATAAGTGATTATTCTCCATTTGAGTGACTATAACCATGGAAATGAAGTGATAAAATAGTCTCAGAAAATGCAAAGTACTTTCTCAAACACTTGTAGTAAAATTTTAAAAAAAGTGTGGTTAAAAAAGAGACAGTAAAATGAAACCTCTTCATTCCATATTTATTCTTTCTATTGCTCCTTCAACATATCTAAGTTGCTTTAAAGTCAAACCAGGATTCCATTCTAACTGGCAGTGCTATAAGCTCGACCTTGTCTCATCATCATAAACTGATTCATATATCCACAGTTTCACGTTAACAATAAAAATTCTGGAATCACCTGGCAAATTTGTCGATGATGCAAGGACTGATATAGTATATAGTTCTCTCTGTTTTGAGATACTGAAAAGAGGATTTTTTTCTCCATTAAAAGAAACAGTTACATAAGAACAGATATACTGGATCAGATTAATGGTCTATCTAGCCCAGTGTCCTGTCTTCCAACAGTGATCAATCCCAGGTGCTTCAGAGTGAACAGGCAATCATTGAGTGATCCATTCCCTATCATCCACTCCCAGCTTCTGGTGATCAGAGGCTAGAGACACTCATAGCATGGGGTTGCATACCGGCCCATCTTGGCTAATAAAAATAGATGGACCTATCCTCCATTAACTTATCTAGTTCTTTTTTTGAACCTGGTTATAGTTTTGGCCTTTACATCATCCCCTGGCAACGAGTTCCACAGGTTTACTGTGCATTGTGTGAAAAAGTACTTCCTTTCACTTGTTTTAAACCTGCTGCCCATTTATTTCACTGGGTCACCCCTGGTTCTTGTGTCATGTGAAGGAGTAAATAACATTCCTTATTCACGTTCACCATACCATTCATGATTTTATAGACCTCTGTCTTATCCCCTCTTAGTCTTCTCTTTTCCAAGATGAAAAGTCCCAGTCTTCTTAATCTCTCCTCATATGGAAGCTATTCCATACCCTTGATC